TACTGCAGAGAGCCCCAGATGTTTTTTTTTTTTCCCAAGCAAGTGGGTTAATCTCAGACATTAGGCTTTTAGAGTAGGACCTGCCAAAGATGGGGTACGTTGACATTGTGGCAGGCTTATGCAATGTATGATCATATAATGTAATTAAACGCCCATTATGTTTGCCTACATTAGATGTAGGGATGCACCGAAATTTCGGATGCCTAAATTTTAGGCCGAAAATGGGCCAAATGTGCCAAAAATTACACCCCTTCCCCAGGGCAGGTTGTTAATTTTTTCTTTTAGCCCGGGCTAGCAGAAGGGGACCTGACATCGGGTCCCATATGTGATCCCACAATATGAAACCCAGCACAGTGAGTTGCCAGGTATATATTATATAAACTACTTATCTGACCATCAGTGCAGAACACACGGGAGTTGTAAACACCAGAGAAAGTAGCCCACGGAAGTAGAACTGGCACAGGACAAACCATGAGCCGTGCTCTCTAGTGTTTGTAACCCCTGTGTTGCAGTGCGCTTTTTGGCAGGTGTCGCGTAAGGCAGGCGCTGGGCGGTCATGTGACGCAGGAGTGGCCGCCTTGATGACAGACGGTGCCCCGGAGAGCATGCAGCCTCGCAGGCCTGAGTGGTTTGATGGGCTGGGGTACAGGGGAGCCGCCTACGGTGCAGGCCGAGGTGAGGACTACCAGCTCTGCTTCCTGGCAAGGTAATTCAGCTTCTTGGGGGACCTGTCCCAGCATTGGTTGACCACCCCACCGGACATCCGCAGCAGCCGCAACCTCCACTGGAGGGAGAAAACACCTGTCTATGGGAGAGACAGCAGCATTTTTTTCCTAGTTTAGTTATTATGGCCTAAAATATAAAATTACCTGTAAGTTGCTGACAATTAAAAAGTCTAATATGAATAAAATTATTGAAAAAAATATTTTAAAATCATTTGGTGAAAAAAGTTTTCGTTTTCGGCCAAGGGCATCCTGAATTTTCGGTTTCGGAACAGAATTTTCATTTTGTTGCTTCCCTAATTAAGTGTTTTTAAAAGAACTAAAAAATCATTCAACATTAAAGTTGTTGTTTAGTGAATAAGTGAGTGCGCTGAATCTTGTGTATTGTATAAATTGGCCCCCATTTATGTATGTTCAGGTGAGTGCAACCAACTGGTTTCATATATATATATATATATATATATATATATATATATATATATATATATATATATATATATATATATATATATATATATATATATATATATGTGTATATATATATGTGTGTGTGAGTCTAGCCAACTCCTTGGTTTTGCACCCATCCCTTTTTTTAAAAAAAAAAAAAAAAAAGAAAGAAAACTAATAAAATATGTTTACATTAAAGTTGTTGTTTAGTGGAAAAGTCAGTGCGCTGGATCTTGTGTATTATCTTTGAATATACAAATATTAATGTTTCTTTTCCTATATGTACGAAAGCATATATGCACATACACGTAAATTGTGTACTGTTCATATACTTTAATCGGCCCCTTTTTTGTTTTTCCTATTTTAGGTTTTAATTTATAATTAATATTTAATTATAATGTTTTTATATGGGGATCCTCAAAAGCCTGTTTTGGTATTGGAAAATAGATAAGTTTTTAGGATTTCTTTTTAATGAATTTTATATCCAGTATCTTAGTATATATTGGGCATGAAAAGAAGGTTTTAATTAATATTTGTTTGTGCAATAGTATGTTACATTGTAGACTGGGTATCATGAGAAATTGGATTTTTAATTATACATGTTGGCTGTTAAGTGGTAAAAACATGTATTAGCTGTTAATAAGTGGTAACAATATGTATAGATTGTATATAAATATGAGGTTATAGATCATCTCCTTATCCTCCCACGAGATGCGTAGATGCTAGAGGCGTGTCTGTAAGCAGTCCAGGAAGTAGTGGTACAGAGGGAAGATCTGAGGACTTACTGCTTCAGTCAATTCTCGAGAATACACCCACTTGAAATTTGTTATGAGCTCAGCTTGGCACTACATTTTGGTGAGTGCATTTTCAACTGTTTCACAGTTTGATTAATAAAGGTATAATCTCAATTGGAGGTCCCTCTTGTTGTCTGCACTTTCCTATAGGAATATACTTCTCCGTTCCTTCCCGATATTTCTGACACCACAGACGAAATCATTAAAAAAAAAATGACACTGTTTGACCATTGCAAGTGTCATTTGTTATGTAATATGTCCATATTGTTCTTCAGAGTTATGGAGCTTTAACAATCAACCCAAATGTGAACGAATTGCAATTCTTTGAAATTGAATGCACAGTTCTCATATATAACAAATTATTATTTTAATTATTTACATAGATACTAAATACTTTTCTTCTACTTTTCTTTCTTTTTTTACATCTTCTGGGAAGTGCATACAATAGTATAAATAGAACAGATGAGGTGCAAATTGACGCTTTAATTTAAAGCAACGATCCCCTGTGCCACCGATCACCCACTAAGGTACAAAATAGAAAAAGCACACTGGTAACACACTACAATAGTGGAGTGCAATCAAACATCATATATAAACCACAATAGTACTTATTGTAAGTTGTTCTAAATCAAAGCTGGTTTTACATCATAACTGGAATGCATACATCGGAACAAAAGATATAACAAACATAGTAGTATGTAGTAGTATTGTAATATATATGTACAGTAAATATAGCTTTTCACAGAACCACTCACATGGACCAGAGCCTCATATAGCAGGCACCGGCTTTAGAAGCATTTTGTAGATTTAGATGGATAGTCTCTCCCAGAAATAGTCTGGTCCACAAAGCCTGGAATAGGGCAGGAGACTGGATCATAGTCAAACAACTGATTTATTAGATCCAAGCCAAAGTAGTGACAATATAAAAACTATAATATAAAATCAAACGGCACAACGCTTTTAGACATAAGGTATTTTTCAAGTGCATGAAATCATTACCATCATTTAAATCCCTTCAGCTGAATGAGTTTTTCGTGCCATTTCCGGCATTCTCACACACTGTCCGGGTTTCCTATTTCCTTTCCTTATTCTCACTAGATTCTGCTGGAAATGTGACCAGTATGTTCTCTGTATTTGCTCTTTAAGGACTCAGAGAAATTCCTCAATGTGTATCACATTTTCCCTATGTGGTAGATCCTGGGTAAGAAGTCAAACCGTTTTAAATTGTTTTGACTACTTACAGTGGGTGAGTGCTTGGAAACTCCTGGCAACAGAACTACTACAGTCCTCCCAAAAGGTTGCTGGTTTGATGAGAGCTTACTCCAGCAGTCACAAAACTCTGCATTTTTAAGAAACACAAAAATGTCAAAGTAAAGATTTATTTATTTTTAACTTTACAATGTAGTTTTTTGCACATTGTTTAAATAGCATTTGTACATTACATTAAAATAGGGGTTGCCTCTGTTTTGATCTCCACGTGACAGGGCCTGCCGTAGGGTGGTTTACTAAACATTTAAAAGTTATCGTTCTAAAGATTCTTTTTTCAAGCTCATGAATTGGCTTCATATAATATAGAACTTTTCCCTGTAGAGAAGTTTCCAACTTTTCAGTACATGATAAGCTTTTTCCAGCTTGATCAATAGGATCTGTAGAAATTATTTCATTAATTTTTTTTAGCCTTTCACTATTTTGTAAATATCGTTCTTTCCCAGTTCTAGTATTAGAGTGTCGTATTACCAACTAGCGCTGTGCTCTTTATTTTGTTTATTTAAGGTGCATACATTTTCATACTAAGCATTTGGGTGGAAAGAATTGAAAAGGCTGTAATAAACGCACCATAAAATAAATTTTAACCCCTTCAGGACCGAGGACGGTTCAGGACCGTAATCTGCATTTTTGCGTTGCCGACCGGTGACGGTCCTGAACCGTCCTAACGGTTCAATGTACTTACCCGATCGCCATTGTTCCCCCGGCGGCGATCGGTGTTGCTCCCGTTGTGGGGAGACTGCCTGCAGCCCAGACACTCTCCCCGTGGCAGATTAGGACCCCTGTGGCCATGTGATCGCTCAACAAAGCCATGTGTCTGCCTGCAGGGGGACTGCCTGTGCTGACAGGCAGTCTCCCTGCTAGTGTAAAATCATTAAAAAAAAAATGAAAGTTAATAATATTAAAAAAAAAATTATAGGGGGCGTGGCCAACCGCTGAGCAGCCTGGAAGCATAGGAAACTGCTCTGGCACCCGGGCTCTCAATATCCATAGCCATCCACTATCGGAACACCACAAAAACAGCAATCTGCACCATGTCTGACCCCAAAAGCAAGAAATCTACCCAAAAAGCCGAAAAAAAATATTTTTTCAGCCAAAAATCGGCAACAGGCTCCGAAGCAGAACGGGCCCAAATCCAAGATGGCGCCGATGATCAGGACATGGGAACGCTCCACACCAAGCACAAACAAGGGGATGAAACCTCTCACGGGGCATCAGGGGACTTCACCAAAGCACACCTAACTGAAGCCCTAGCAGTAATGTCAGACAAATTAGTGAAAACCTGGCAGACATCTATTGAACAACTCAGGAAAGAGGTGCTGGATATCGGCAACAGAACGGCACACGTTGAAAACAAACTAAGTGAATATGCCACAGCACACAATGACATAGCCGACCATGTAGCAGCCTTGGAACAAAAGGTGACATTAATAGAGACGCGCATGGCGGATGCAGAGGACAGATCACGGAGAAATAACCTCAGATTAAGAGGTTTTCCTGAAACGGTCCTCCCCGGCGACCTACAGGCGTATGTCAGAGTCCTGATGAGAGCATATGTACCTGAAATACCAGCAGACTTGATGCTAGTAGACAGAGTTCATAGAGTCCCAAAGCCGAGGAACCTACCTGATACAACCCCAAGAGACGTCTTAATGAGAGCGCATTACATCAAAGAGGCAGTGCTCCGCGCCAGCAGAAACCGAGCAACACCACACGAAGACTACCCATCAGTGAAAATCATGGCAGATCTATCAGTAGCTACCCTCAAGCAGAGAAAAGAATTCCAAGAGATCACGGAGGAGCTGAGAAATAATGGAATCTGGTACCGATGGGGATACCCCACCAAGTTGCTGATCACCAAAAATGGCGGACTGAAAACCATACACACACCAGAAGATGGACTTAAGCAACTCAGAGAATGGGGCCTACTAACGGGATCCCCGAAAAAAGCAGGCCCAGCAGAGCGCCTAACACCTGAATGGCGCCAAACACCCAAAAAATCCACATAACCAACAACACCGACCACACTTCGGATACGTGAGATATGGAGTTATATGTTTATGTGCTAATGTTGCATATGTTTCTTTAGTAACTTGTTTTATGTTTATCTGTGGGATAACTAAGGACCGTTTTGCAAACGCCTATGGAAAGGCAAAGGCAGGGGAGGCAGCGCTGACAGGGCAGGGTATGTTTTGCAAGCCAGCAGGGGAAGGCCTAGAAAAAAACACACGTAGTCAGAATTAGTGGGAGACTCATAGCCCCTTATGTAACAGTCCCTATAGTATGTTGGCTACCACACCACATCATGGTCATGTTGGAGGTCTTGATTTTATTCATCTGATCCCATTCAACTGCCAGCTAAATAACTTCTTTTATGTAGAAAATCCCCCCTTAAGGACTAGTGTTATGACAAACAGACCAAGGGAGGATAACATAAGACCCACACAGGCCTGATGATTGAGGATAACATATTCCACCCCTAAAATCGACCAAAGACGCGACACCCTGCCGGGGCTGCCACCACAGCGCATAAAAGCACCACAAGGTTAAAGTTCTGAACCCCGAACGCAATAAGCATGAGAGCCCGACAGCCACAAAACCAGAGGCGTCGCCCGACGCTTACCCCCCATGGCACAATACCATAGTGCCAAGACCCCGCTTTGGGTCATCTTGTACATAAGTTGGTTCTTTACCTCCCTCTTCCCTCTAAGTCCGGAAAGTCACACCTCCCTGCCCACCACCAAGCACAAACAAGGCCACCAGGGCCATCACCCCAAAAAAACATAGACACGCAGAATTCACATACGAGCTCTCTCTACCACAAACCCATAATATGAAAATATACTCACATAACGCTAGAGGTCTAAACACCCCACACAAAAGGCGCTTGGTCCTAGCAGAAGCCAAACAAATTAAAGCAGACATCGTGTGTCTACAAGAGACACACTTTGTAACTGCTAGAGTACCGAATTTTGGCATACGAGATCTGACAGATGTGACAGTGCTTCAAGCCATCCAATCACAGTGCTCTGTGTCATTTTACACAGCGTGGGAAAATTCTTTCCCGCTGTATGCGCGCATGACACAAACATATGAAGATAACTATCGCTCCAATCACAGTGCTCTGTGTCATTTTTACAGCATGGGAAAAGTGACTTTCCACGCTGTGTAAAATGACACAGAGCACTGTGATTGGATGGATTTCAAGCCATCCAATCACAGTGCTCTGTGTCATTTTACACAGCATGGGAAAGTTCTTTGAATTTTCCCACGCTGTGTAAAATGACAAAGAGCACTCTGATTGGCTTAAACCAGCCAATCAGAGTGTTCTTAGCCTAATTGCAGGGCGTGGCAAGGCTTTATAAGCCTTACCCCGCCCTGCGGAGCTCAGTCTGCGCGGAGCCCTCCATGGGTGAAGATGGATTTTTTTTTTTTGTGCGCTCGTTTTTTTTGTTTAATTGCGTCGGTTCTTATGGCTTTTTATTTGGCCTTTTTTGGGGCTGAAAAAAGAAGATTGTAGAAGAAAGAAAACATCAAATGGTAAGTTATTTTTATCTAATTTTTTTTTACATGTTTTTAGTTAAAGGTCCCCCCCTCATTATTTTTAGGGTGAGGGGGGTAGGTAGGGAGATCATTTTTTTTTGGGGGGGGAGGGGTGACTAGGGCCCCCCCTTTGTATTTAGGGCCCCCACCCACCGCTCAGGTGTGGGGTCCGGGGGGGGAACAATAGGTCCCCCCCTTATTGTTAATTTTAGGGCCCCCACCCACCGCTTGGGTGGGGGCCGGGGGGGGACAATAGGTCCCCCCTTATTGTTAATTTTAGGGCCCCCACCCACCGCTCAGGGGTGGGGGTCGGGGGGGACAATAGTTCCCCCCATTATTGTTAATTTTAGGGCCCCCACCCACCACTCAGGGGTGGGAACCGGGGGGGACAATAGGTCCCCCCCTTATTGTTATTAGGGCCCCCACCCACCGCTCAGGGGTGGGGGCCGAGGGTGACAGCAGGTCCCCCCTTATTGTTAATTTTAGGGCTCCCACCGCTCAGGGGTGGGGGCCGGGGGCCGAGGGTGACAGCAGGTCCCCCCTTATTGTTAATTTTAGGGCTCCCACCCACCGCTCAGGGGTGGGGGCCGGGGGGGGACAGTAGGTCCCCCCTTATTGTTAATTTTAGGGCCCCCACCCACCGCTCAGGGGTGGGGGCTGGGGGGGGACAGTAGGTCCCCCCCTTATTGTTATTTTTAGGGCCCCGACTCGCCACACATGGGTGGGGGCCGGAGAGGGGGAGGACTGTAGGTCCCCTCCTCATTATCTTTATGGCCCCCACCCGCCAGAAAGAGTCCTTGTGGGTTTTAAAATTTGCCTGCCTATTGAAGTCTATGGCGGTTCGCCGGGTTCGCAAACATTTGCGGAAGTTCGCGTTCGTGGTTCGCGAACCGAAAATTTCAGGTTCGCGACATCACTAGTGGAGAGGTAAATACATATCATGGTCGGGTAGAATGGCTGCATAAAAAATGATAATCTTACCGAAGGTACAATACCTCTTTAGAACACTCCCCATAAAATTAACAAGCCACTTCCTTCAAGAAGCGCAAAAAGTCATAATGTCATTCATATGGGATGGCAAGAAGCCAAGAATATCCAAAAATATTCTATATCTGCCACGAACACAGGGAGGGATGGGGGTACCAAACATAAACAACTACTACCAATCAGCAATCCTCAGCCCACTCCTAGCAGAAAGCAACAAAGACCAAGCAACCCAATGGTCGGACATAGAGGCACACCATGCCAACGGGATACCAATCTCTGTCTTAGCCTGGCTCCCACGCCCACACAGACCCCCGCAAAATATATTCTCCCAACAACAACACTCACCCTACACATATGGGACCAGTACTGCCACAAAATGGAAAGGTAAACTCTCCCCCGCCACCCCAATAAAAGCTCTCCACCATATAAAACCAAATTTCAACCATGCCATTTGGCAACGACATGGCATCAAATTCCTACACCAAATGCTGCAGGGCCAAGAGCTCAAAAAATTTGAAGAACTAACAACAGCATTCCACCTCAACCCCACAGCTCTATTCTCATATAGGCAAATCCAGTCATGGCTTAAAAAACAAACCATTACCTACAAAGCTGATGTACAGGAACAACAGCTGACGGTGGTAGAAAAAATCTGTGCACGCCTCTCTCCCCCTAAATAAACTACTCTCTACAATTTACCAAACGTTACAGACCTCTAAAACCCACGCACCATTCCCATTCATCATTGCCCGGGAGAAAGAGTTCACATACACCCTAAGTCCGCAACAATGGAAAGACATACTGCAAGCACATAGCTCTCTCTCAAAATGTACCTCCCATATGGAGCTCTCCCGTAAAATCTTATACAGGTGGTATTTGGTCCCCACGCGGATTAAAGCAGCATACCTACAGGCCACAGACACATGCTGGAGATGCCAACAACACAAGGGAACAATGCTCCACATCTGGTGGACGTGTCCTGATCTCACCACCTTCTGGGACGACATAATAAAACTCATACCTAAGCACACAAATAAGACTAGAATGCAAACCAGAGATTTTCCTCCCCACAGCTATTCCCCAAAAACCTAAAGAAACCACAAAAATACTTAATATACCACATCATTATGGCAGCGTTAACAGTGATTAGCTGACACTGGCGATCGGCCTCTCCACCAAAGCTCCAGCAGTGTATACAAACAATAGAAACCACCAAACAATATGATCTGGCGGCCAGACGCATAAACTCACCGAAAACAAATTGGACAGAGGCATGGGACAACTGGAGTACCACCTACAGAACTCCAAAACACCCACTTAGAAACCGTGCAGGCAGATATCTACGAACCGACAGCTGTGTCCCTAACGTAAGAGAAGTGTATAGAATATAATTAAACAAGAGATATGAACATTGCAATATTAATATTATGTTGTTTAAAGCAATAACGACAGACACATAAGCACTAGAAAGATGCAGCTCACCCCATCCATACATATTATACCTGGTCATGACAAAGGAGCTGGCAGAAACGGAAAATCCCAAATGAGTATCAAACGCGCAAAATATGCCCCCCCGTAACCCTGAATTAGGTTCGAGAGGTGCGGCCAACTGGACTCCCCCTCCCCCCCCTCTCTTATCTCCCTCCCAGTCTCCCCACCTTCCAATTATTCGCCCTTCTCCCCCAAATCCCCATAGGGTGACCATACTCGATCGCCTACAAAAACGAAACAATCTCTTACCCATACACAGATGGGGAAAATATATGAAAATGTAAATGTGTCATTACATAATGCAATAATTACCTTTGCAGGGTTAGGAAACTGCAATAATTACCTTTGAGGGTTATCTCCACCTCTAGTGGCTGTCTAGAGGGACTTCCGAGTTGTTAGGCAATTTTTGGTTGCAATTTTGTGTGTGAAATGAAAAAACCGACGGAGGCGGAAGCTGTGAACAAGGACACGTGAAATGTTTTTATGACACCCTTCCCTTACTTCTCTTCTGTACCCCTATTGCTGTTACACGAAAAAAAAAAATTGTCAAATTAAAAAAAAAAAAATGTTTGTTGGCCCAGAGGGCAATAGCTAGAATTATGGAAAACTATAAGGCCACCACTAGTGACAGAGGTTTGCAAAGAGGTAGATACCCATGGGGTCCTCCCCATGACGACAATGGCCACAGAGGCTAGGAAGCTATGGGATATAGGGAGACTGAGCAGGCCCCAGACAACTGGAGGCCGTTTAGACAGGTAGGCCCAAAGGGCCAGGCAACAGAAAAAGACACACACATAGATCTGCAAACCTAGGATAGGGACGATAAAATGGGAAAGGTGTGTGTGTACATTCATGGAATATGTAACAGCTTACAGCAAATGTGACATAATTTTGGTATGCTCCCCTCCACATCCCCCCTGCCCCTTTTTTCAATTCTGTACCCCACTCCCTCTACCCCCCCTTTTTTGTTGAATCAATGAAAAAAACAATAAAAATGTTAAATGGAAAAAAAAAAGTGTGTGTGTGTATATATATATATAATAATAATTGTCTATATATCATATATATGTCATACTAAGTGTATTTTTATATTAATATGTACATATATTAATATAAAAATACACTTATAATTAAATTATGTATATATATATATATAATATAAATAATAACTATATATAGTATATAAATATTATTATAAAATACAAATAAGTAATTTAAATTAAATAAAACATGTAAAAATAATAAAAATTAAAAAATATATATCTATATAAAATTTTATTCTAACTGTATTTTGATAGTAATATATTTATATCAAAATACACATAGAATGAAATTGTATATATATCTATGTATATATAAATAAAAAAAAATACAAAATATACATATGTCCATATACAAAATTACATAAATAATTATATAAATAGACATCAAATATATAAATATGCATATATATTTAAATTCTACATGCGTATTTATGTAATATTTTTACATAATTAAGTAATTTTATTGATTGCAATTTGAGGGACCTGCCTGCCAACCCAGGCCGAAAGTCCAGAGAATTTAATTTGCTAGCACTGTATTTTACCCTGTATCTTTCTATGACACCCTAAAACCTGTACATGGGGGCTACTGATTTATTCGGAAGACTTCACTGAACACAAATATTAGTGATTCAAAACATTAAAACATATCACAGCCATGATATTGTCAGTGAAAGTGACTTTTTTTTGCTTTTTTCACACACATACAGCACTTTTACTGATGATCTTGTTGTGATACGTTTTAAAACACTAATATTTGTGTTCAGCAAATCTCCCGAGTATAACAGTACCCCCCATGTACAGGTTTTATAGCGTTTTTGAAAGTTACAGGGTCAAATATTTTTACATTGAAAAAAGGCCAGGTTGGTTACGTTGCCTTTGAGAGCGTATGGTAGCCCAGGAATGAGAATTACCCCCGTGATGGCATACCATTTGCAAAAGAAGACAACCCAAAGTATTGCAAATGGGGTATGTCCAGTCTTTTTTAGTAGCCACTTAGTCACAAACACTGGCCAAAATTAGCGTTCAATTTAGTTTTTTACTTTTTTCACCCTCGACAAATATGAATGCTAACTTTGGCCAGTGTTTTCGACTAAGTGGCTACTAAAAAAGACTGGTCATACCCCATATTGAATACCCTGGGTTGTCTACTTTAAAAAAAAAAATATGTACATATGGGTTGTTAGTCAGAGATTAGATGACAGATAATAGTGTTACAATGTCACTATTGATAAATTTTTAAAATTTATGTTTTGAAACCGCAATATCCTTCTTGTACCTATAGCCCTATAACTTGCAAAAAAGCATATAAACACTGGGTATTTTTAAACTCAGGACAAAATTTTGAATCTATTTAGCATTTTTTTCATTTGTTTTTGTAGATGAGTAAAATATTTTTCAAGTAAAAGTAAAATAAATGTATTTGTTTCAATTTTTCATCATTTTTTTAATTAAATTAAATTAGATCATATAAATAATGGTATGTAAAGAAAGCCCCTTTTGTCCTGAAAAATATATATGTATAATTTGTATGGGAACAGTAAATGAGAGAGCGGAAAATTACAGCTAAACACAAACACCACAAAAGTGTAAAAAGAGGCCTGGTCGCAAATGTACAACATTGCAAAAACAGTTCAGTTCTTAAGGGGTTAAAGCAGTTAGCTGGATGAAATTCTTTGGCAAAGAAAAATGGAAATCCCCATGAGGGGTTACTTGTAAAAAGATCCTTGTAATAACAGGAAATCTTAACCATTTTTTTATTGAGAAATAATTATTTTTCCATTTATTGGATGAGAAATCTCACATCATTCACAAAAAGCCAATTGTTTTGAATATGAAGTCATTTTCTGATGTCATGTTCCATATTGCTTGTTAAATTAACACCCTTAAAATGCATCTGTTCAACAATGCCATGTGAAACAGGTAACATAGAATACTTGAGGGCAGCACACAATAAAAAAATATTTCTATATATAAAAAAAAAAAAAGTAATCTTTATCAAAACTTGATCCTATTTAGTTTTGTTATAATCTCCATTATGTCCCTATAAACCCTAAAGGAAGGAAAACAAAGTGTTTTATTTCCTGAAAATTCTATTTAAATAATTGCAAAACATTTTTTTTTATCCCCATCATTATGAATTGACTCTTTCATGCAGTGGTAGCTTGTGTAAACCTCATTCACTTAAGAATGCCACTATTCATATGTGAAAAAAGTTGTGCGCTATAAAGTATGCTCTGCTGTGGTTATAGTTCCTGGTGTCTGCTGCTTCCATCTGTCCTTTCTGTATTAAACTGTTTTGATCTCCATTTCGCTAAATGAGGGTTTCTGACAACTCTGTGCTAGATAGACTGAGTGTGTGAATTGACCGCTTTCAGCCTATCACAGTTGCTGGTATAAACTGGAATAGTTAAGAAAGAGTGTAATTTCTGATTTAAAGGAACACTATAGGGTCAGGAATATAACATGTATTAATGACCCTACAGTGTTAAAACCGCTCTCTATCCGCTCTGTTGCCCTTTTCCCCACTAAATATAGTAAAATCTTCCTTTATTCCAATCTGCTGGCTCCACCACTGACCTGCCTGCTTGACTGACATAATCCGAAGTGGTGATCTGAGCCAATCACAATGCTTTCCCATAGGAAAGCATTTTATTGGCTGAGCTTGTCAAGTAGGCAGAAGCAGAGCCAACACAGTCCTGGCCTCCTCATAGAGATGCATTTAATCAATGCATCACTTAGTAAAGTTCAATGTCTCCATGCAGAAGGTGGAGGCACACTGAACGTCAGTGCTGCACACTGTGCAGCAGTGACCCAGGAAGAAACTCTAGTAGACATTGGAGTAGCCAGTGGAGATATCCCTCTCTAATGTAAACGCTGCCTTTACTCTGAAAATACAGTGTTTACTGCAAAAATATTAAGGGAATGAGTATAGCTGTAGTTTTTCTGCTGACTATAGTGTCCCTTTAACCATATCTACAGTGGTTCTTCAGATACTATGATAAAAGAATCCTTTCCTTTACAAGATGCCTGTTAGGAATTAATGGCTGCTGAATATCAAAAGCCAAAAAAGTATACCTCTAATCAGGTGAGATTGAACAAGTTATATCCTCTTAAAGAGGAAGTGTTTAAATGCTAAACGGCTGCTTCAAAAATGAATGCACTGTGGTGTATCTGGCCAGGTAGACTGTCCTTTCTATGGATGATGCTGACTCTTTCAAAGATCCTCTGGTTTGGCAAATTAATTCTAACATAACCATAGGGTGAGATTGAATGGAATATTATTACCTCCATTCCAGTGGAGGAATTACCTCCAATTCCAGTGGATGGAGTTGGGTCACCGATTTCAAATGCCAGGGTATCAAAGGTTAATGGAGTTTTACCTCAGAAGGATTTCTATCCAATATTTCAGAGATTAGAGCAGTACTCCAGTGTCTTCATTTTCAACCTCAGATTATCTCTGCATGTGAGAATTTGATGGAGAATCTGCAATTGTTCATCAGTTTCATATATAAACCACCGTAAGGACATATCTATAGCAGATTTCCTCAGAAGGAATTGCCTAAGGCCATTTCCACTGATACACCGGCAGCCCCTAGGAACTTTAAACTATGCTATGTGTTTCTGGTTCTCAGGAAGATCAGAGAAGACAAAGCCCAAGTGGTGGCAATTCTCCCATGCTGACCACACCACCCTTGGTTTCCTCTCTTCTACAAAGAATGGTTGAACCTCCTTAAGACTTTCTAATATTTCTAATCTAATAATGGTTGAACCTCCTTTGGACTTTATAATATTTACAGTTCCACATCCTTTTCCTCACATGCTGCACCTGGAGAGTGAGCAGGCATAATTTTTATACTCCTTGGTGATCACCTTGGTGTACTGTTGTAAGAAGTCTACCTACTTCTTCTACTGATTAATTTGGAAAGCTTTTTGCTGTTGGACTAGGACTATAGGATGTTCTCCTTCTCACACACACCAGAAGGATATATTAGATTTTTTTCAATGTGGATTAGATGAGCTTTGGATCTTTTAGGACCTCTACTCTTTGTGTTACAATGCTTGATCATTTTTCCATTCGTAGAATTAGAAGTCTTGTCTGATTTAATTCTCACTTTGATAACTATGCTGTTGGTATCCTCTGCTCAAAGATGTAGGAATTAAGAGACAATATCAATAGGGGAGTTACAGGAAGCCATAAAAACATCAGGACAGGCCTTGATGACTTCTCCTTACAATACTACAAAAATTTTGGAAACTTCCTACTCCCCCACCGTCTGGCCTTGTTTAATTCTTTACTCTGAGATGGTACTTTAGGTGTTGAGACATCAACGTGTTTCTCACCTATGGCAAACTGAGCAACTTTAAATTTAACTTAAATCGGAAGCGCTCAACATCACAGCTTCAGCAATGATCTTGGACCATTTGGTCTCCAATTTTCAATTTTGCTCTAATAAGCTTAAATACCTGGGAGTCTGGCTCCGGTGCAACTTACAGTCCATATATCAATAACATTTTCAGAAGCTACTGAATTTCCTCAAGGTGTATATGAAGGCTTTTCGTAGCTTAGACATATAAACTCTTTTGTATTTATTTCAGAGCGTATCTGTGTCAAATCCTTTAATCTTACTGTGGTGACTTACATATGGAGAGGACAGAGATCCAGGTTTTTCATGCCACAACTAATGCTATCTAGAGAAAGGGGCGGACTGGGGTTGCCCTCCTTCCTGGGATACTATCCATTTTATCATGACTGATAGAGGTTGACATTGCAAGCATATAATTTAATCTTATAAACCCTGCTATAAATTATTGTAATGGATGTCTATAGTTATATATTTATTTAATAAAATATTTAAAAGACAAAACTTTATTGCTTCCAAGACAATCCCTATTTTATATTGTATTCTCAATTATTTATATATTTTAAATAGAGGAACTCTCACTAACTATATAATATTATGGCTAAGATATCTGTATGATTAGCCCTGCTAAATTCTATGCTTTAACACGTTATCGTGGTAAATAGGGGAACCGGCTGCGGTTACATTCTTATTTTCTTAATTCTCTTGCTCTTCACTCTCCCTGTTCTCAGACTTTATACCCTTAACTGTTCTCTCTCTCTGAGTGTTTCCTCGCTAAAGATAACCTTCCAGGCCACATAGATTGATAACCTTCCAGGCAACACGCAGAAGGTGTCATCTGTTCTGGTTTACGTCTGTGTCACTCAGCCTTATACTCCAGTTCCCTCAACTTCAGAGTAGAGCACTTATTCGAGGAGTCACATGCTTTGCGAGCCTGGTAGGGAACCAAATGGCCACCGAATAGCATAACTCTGAGGGAGGTGATGCTCTTTCAGCTGCGCACAGCCAGACATAATACCATACCCTAAACTTAGATTCCAATGCTATGACGATATCTAGCCATTACACACACAAGGTTAGAATTACTCAACTATGTAGTGAAACGAGCGAAAGTAACAACTGTGATACATGGAAATTTGTCTGCCTCCCTCAAATTTCCTTCCTCTCCCCCCCTCAAATTTCCTTCCTCTCCCCCCCTCAAATTTCCTTCCTCCCCCCCTTAAATTTCTTTCCTCCCCCTCCTTCCCTCAAATTTCCTTCCTCCCCCTCCCTCCCTCAAATT